GCTGCGCGCGGACTACGCGGCGCGCGGGCCAAAGGCGTTCCTGAAGACGACGCTGGGCAACGTCGCGCGCCCGACGGTCGCCGCGGTCCTGGCGCTGGAGGCGTGCCGGCGGTGCCTCTTCGCGACGTTCTGGAAGGCCGTCGCCTGGGGCCTCGGCGAGCTGGACGACGACGAAGCCGCGCTGCTGCGGAAGCTGGCCGTCGAGGAGGCGCTCGGCGGCCTCGCGCTCTGCGCCGTCGCCGCGTGCGAGACGAGCTTCGCGACGGGCGCGCCGATCCGCGGCCACGACGCGCTCGGCAGCCGCGCGGCGGCCGCGGCGCCCGAGGCCGTGGTCCTCGCGTTAGTCGTCGCCTGCGCGTCGGCGTCCGTCGCGCTCCTGAGCCGCGTCGCGCGCGCGCGGCTCGCGCGCTACGCGGACGCCGCGGCGCCCGGCGTCGGCTACGCCGCGGCCTCTCGCCGCGCGGCCGGCCACGCGCGGCTCCTCGGGCTGCTCGTCGTGCTCGAGGCCGTGGCCCTGGCGTCGACGGCGTGGATCGTACGGCTGGCCTACGCCCACGGCGGCGCGACGGCGGCGCTCCAGGCCGTGGCGCTCGCGCTGCGGACCGCGAAACGGACGACCCAGGCGCTGCTGCACCACGGCGCGAGTTTGACGTTGGGCGGCGAGGGCCGGCTCTTCGGCATGTTACTGCGCTACCACGTCGACGACGCCTTCGGGGCCGCGGACAGCGAGGTCTTGAAGCGCCGCTTCGCCGCCGCGCGGCGCCGCGCGGCGCGGCTCAGAGACGCGGACGACCAACGCTTCCGCGTCGCGTCGTACGGCGTCGAGTTCTGCGCGGACGTCGCCGAGATGGCGTTCATTTTGGCCTGGTACGCCCTCGAGCTCGTGTCCGGCTCGTTGGAGTTGTCCGCGGGGTCCATGCTCTTCTCTGTGTACGCGCAGCAGGCGCACGCGCGGCTCCGCGCGCGATTGGCCTACCACCGCGAGTGGGCCGCGGCGCGCCGCGACCTCGACGCGCGGTCGCTCTTCGCGCCGGCGGACGACGACGCCGTGCGCGCCTACGACGACATCTGCGTCATCTGCCACGACGGCTTCGCGGTCGCCGCGCGCGACGAAAGCGGCGCGCGGACGCTCGACGCGCAGACGCCCGTGCGGCTCCCGCGCTGCGCGCACCTCCTGCACCGGAGCTGCCTCCAGGTCTGCCTCCAGCACGCCCACTCGACGCTCACGCCCCTGCGCTGCCCCATCTGCCGCGAGCCCTGCAGGCGGCCCGACGCGGCCGCGAAGGCGCCACCGGCGGAGCCGCCGGCGAACGAGCCGCCGCCGGCGCCGGAGCCGCCCGAGCCACCGGCGGCACCGGAGCCCCCAGCGCCCGAGCCACCGGCGCCCGAGCCACCGGCGGCGCCGGAGCCACCGGCGGCGCCCGAGCCTCCGGCGCCGGCGGAAGACCCACGGGTCGCCGGCCCGCCGCCGGCGGGCATGTTCATCTAAATCCTCGTTTCTGGAGCGTTAGCGGGCCTAGGCCGCCGCCGCGCAGCACTTCTTGTACTTCGCGCCGCTGCCGCAGGGGCACGGCGCGTTGGGCTTGACGCGCGCGCCGATCTTGTCCTGCTTCCGGTGGATCGTGATGCCCATGCGCTCGGCGAGGCCGCTGAGCTGCTGCTCCTCGCGGCGGTCGAACTCGGCCTCCTCGCGCGCCGTCGCCGGGAAGCCGTTCTTGAGCCGCGTGACCTC